CTCATGCCACCACACCTGAGTTTGTTTTATTTTTTTTTGAGACAGGATCTTGCTATGTTGCCCCTGCTGGTCTTGAACTCCTTGCCTCAAGTAATCCTCCTACCTCAGCTTCCCAAAGTGTTGGGATTACAAGTGTGAGCCAACACCCCTGGCCAGGCTCTCACTTTCTAGGTGGCATTGTGGGTGAAGTTTTTGTGCTTTGGTTTCCTTGCTGCAGAGTAGAGATAATAATAGTACCTACCTGAGAGGATTGTTTTGAGGACACAGTGTCCTAATGCATGTGAAGCACTTAAAGCAGTGCCTGACACACAGTAAAAACTAGGAACTGCTCATTGGTTCTTCTTATCTATAGGCAGTTAGTTCACAGGCTCACACAATGTCTCTTCATGGCTCTTTGAGAATCCATAATTCTAATCATAATTCATCATTTCTTCTTAGAGTAACTTGAGATCCTGACATTAATTTCCTCAGACATTTAAGGAACCACAAGGTAATGGGTTGTTATCTCACTTTTTTTCAAAGTGAAAGCAAGTTTATTACGAAAGTAAAGGAATAAAAGAATAGCTACTCCATAGACAGAGCAATCTATTATTTTATCAATGAAAAGATTTGAATAAAAAATTAAATATCAGTTTGTACCCAGTCTCCTTGGGTGTCCATAACAAAGATGGTAGAAGAATCTAGAATCTTGCCTGGACTGGCTCATCTTACTGTCAGCCCTGACAGCTGTGAGGGTGCACAGTAAATCTCTCATCATGCTCGAAGGATCCTGTCCTATCATTGGAAACATGGCTGGCATTTTCAGCCAAAGGACCATCCCTAGAGACTCATTCCCAGCGACTCCAGTCCTGGAATCCTCATGACACCCATGTCCTGAGGGACCCTTGCCTTCAATCTCCAAGTTGAAAGTTTGCTGGGTTACAGCTGACCCTCAGGAGGCCTAGAGCAAAGGAAGGGACAATGTCCTTCCTCTCTGTGGCCAGGGAGGGTCCCTACACATCCAACCAGCCAAAGTGCTGGTGTCCTTGGAAGGCTGGGGTGGCAGTGGTGAGAAGGGTTTGTTAGGACCTGTATATTTTTTTCTTCAACAAAAATAAATGTTCATTATAAGGAAATAAGTTTAGATTATTCAGGTAAACAAAAAGAAACCAAATATAACCTGTATGTCCTATAATATCAAGTATTCACCTATAACTTTATTTGTTTCTCATAAATACCCAAAGGAGTAGAGTAACACCAATGGAAGTATGCTATGCAAATACATTTCAGCACTTGATAAGGTAGAAATTTTTAGTGGCATAAAAGCTGGAAGAACAGATGGGGCACCTTTAGATGAAATAAGGTCTGAGTTTCTACAGAGGCTTTGCAAGATGCAGGATAACCTTTTCTCATGGAGAGGGGGTTCCATTTTAATGGCCATCCCAGAATTAAAATAGGAATTTTTCAATAATGAAATAGGCTTCTTCCAAAATAGCATCGAACACACTCTCTGCAGTATGTTCAATCAAAATAGCTGTTATAATATTTTTAAGTGTTGCAAACACCTGGTTCATGATGAAAATCCTTGGGAATCTTTAAAAGGAAGTAAGGGTCTATGTTAGCTGGAAGTGAATCCTGTATGAGCAGATCACATCAAAAAGGTCTTGCTTAAGTATGTTGTATGTTCCAAGTACAGCATTGGATGCTCAGGGAAATAAAGTGTCATAAGACAGGGGTCCCCAACCCCTGGGGAGCAGACCAACACCAGGCGGCACAGCAGGAGGTGTACGGTAGGCAGACCAGGATAGCTTCATCTGTGTTTTCAGCTGCTCTCCATTACTGCCTGAGCTCCGCCTCCTGTCAGATCATCAGCAGCATAGGAGCTTGAACCCTATTGTGAACTGTGCATGCGAGGGATCTAGGTTGCGAGCTCCTTATGAGAATCTCATGCCTGATGATCCATCACTGTCTCCCATCACCCCCAGACAGAACCGTCTAGTTGCAGAACAAGCTCAGGGTTCTCATTGATTCTATATTATGGCGAGTTGCATAATTATTTCATTATATATTACAATGTAATAATAATAGAAATTAAGTGCACAAAAAATGTAATGGGCTTGAATCATCCCAAAAACATCCCCCTGCCACAAGACCATGGAAAAATTGTCCTCCCTGAAACTGGTTCCTTGTGCCAAAAAGGTTGGTGGTATAAGACACAACCAGTACCACAAAGGAGCTTATAGCTATTGGGATATAGGGAATTGAGAGATCAAACCCACTCTCCTTGTTTCTAATATGGTAATACTGAAAAATTATTTGCCCAGAATCTAAAATTGGACATGAGGAGACAGGAAAGGGAGAATCCCAGGGAGCACAGGGGGCACTGGGAGTGAGAGCTGACACTGGTGACTCTGGTTCATAGAAGAGATGCCCTCTCAATCACTTGCGGTCAGGAGTTCAAGACCAGTCCGGCCAACATGGCGAAAACCTGTTTCTACAAAAAATACAAAAACTAGCCTGGCATGGTGGTGGGCACCTGCAGTCCTAGCTACTTGGGAGGCTGAGGCAGGAGAATCGCTTGAACCCAGGAGGCAGAGGTTGCAATGAGCCAAGGCTGTGCCACTGCACTCCACTCCAGCCAGGGCAACAGAGCGAGGCTGTCAAAAAAAAAAAAAAAAAGATGTCTTCTGCACCGCCTACTACACCTGATTCTAGCTCTAACTTTGAGTTGAAAACATCTCATGCTCACTGTCTTTCCTGCTGGCATCAAGACCTTAGTTCTTTTGGGCAGTGGCAGACATGGGATTTCTATCTCTCCACCCACACTCCCGCCCTCCCTTTCAGAAAGCTGAGGCTCCAAGGAGAGAGGGCCTCTGCTTGCAGCCTGGCTGATACCTCAGTCCTTGCCTTTTCTGTGCCGGAGCTGCACAAGGCCATTTCGTGTCCCATTTAGCAAGTGTGGAGAGCTCTTTGATTTGGGAGAGGATAGCACAAGTCATCCTGCCTCCGATGGTGGGTGAAATACCATCTGATTCAGAGCTTCTTTCGTGACTTCCTCCAGAACCGACTGCCTCATTTGTGTCTCCAAAAATAAAAATAGCAAGGGTTAGATCCTATGCCTCTCCTATTCCCTGGGGATGCTGTGATTGAGTGATGACTTTATCAGCAAAATATTGAGGCTGTCAGTCTGTTCTCTTTTGATCAGAATCTAGGAAAAGGAGTAAGTGATGTTATTCTCTGAACTTTGCTGTAGTGTCCCTAGGGCTTAAGGGCTCAGGACCCTGTTTGGCCCAGCATTTTCAGCTGGTTTATTTCATGTTGAGCTTTGCTTTGTACACATCAGTGTGTGAATAAGATCAATCTTTTAGGAAAGGAGTAGTTAAGGCAGTGCTATGGAGGAAAGCATCAAGTGGGACTACAGTGCCTGGATTTTGCCATCAAAGATCCTTTCCATTGGCTACTTCTCACTGAGATCCTTTTAAAAGGTTCTTTAAAACAAATACAAAGTTTTGGAAAGAGCCACACAAATTTAAACAAAGGGTGCCAAGGTTATGTTACTCTAGGTCAGAGGTATGGGTGTCAGGAGGCTCAGGGAGCCATTAGGTCCTAGAGACACTAGGTCTGAGAGAAGAAGTTTTCAGAGTCTAGGAACTCAGTGGATAACAGCAAAGATACCAGCCCCAGGACAAGGCAGTGCCTGTAACCCTGCTGTTATTGCTGATTTGCTGCAGGACATCATCCTCCCTCACAGAGGCTTATGATTGGGGTTGGAATGGGTGCTTGTGATAGAGTATATATTAAAAATCAGTTCCTGTCTGCACGCAGTGGCTCACACCTATAATCCCAGCACTGCGGGAGGCTGAGGCAGGCAGGTTATTTGAGGTCAGGAATTTGAGACCAGCCTGGCCAACATGGTGAAACCCTGTCTCCACTAAAAATACAAAAAAATTAGCTGGGCGTGGTGGTGCATGCCTGTAATCCGGGCTACTCAGGAGGCTGAGGCAGGAGAATCACTTGAACCTGGAAGGCAGAGGTTGTAGTGAGCTGAGATCATGCCACTGCACTCCAGCCTGGACAAAAGAGGGAGATTCCATCTCCAAAAAAAAAAAAAAGTTCCTTTCTTTTCCATTAAAAAGAACTCATCTATGTGATCTACGTGTCCAACTGTAGGCCCCAAGTCACATTTGAAGATAAAATCTCACGGATATCCCAGGCCCCTGACAATGGGGAAAGTAACCAGATTACATACAGGGGCAGTGTGAGTCTCCTTCTTAAGCTCTCCTCACATCCCCAGAGCAGCAGCCACCTGCCTTTGGAAGAAGTGAATCATGGCTGGAACTCCATGCTTGGACCCCTCTCTGAAAGCACGGCTTGGCTTCAGTCATTCTTGTCATCCCTTTTAATCACAAATTGAAGCTCTCCAGGGCAATTAGCTCAGGCCCTTCCATTGCCCCCACAGCCACAGACTCAGGCATGCCTTTGCCCTCTTGATGGCTTTTGCTATGGACAATCCTAGGGACAAAAAAGTAGTGTTTCATGGCAACCCTGAGATGACACGCACCTAGAGGTAATTCTACACACAGGGCCAGCACTAGGTATAAATAGCAATGAAGTTTGTCTACATCACCCTCCATTGGCACATTTATGCCTTTTATACCTTTCCTGTCCTTTCTCTTCTGCACTTATTGCTTTGATACACATAGGCCAGGGATGGTAAATACATTCTGTTTTCAGTGCCGACTGTGATTAATCAGTAGAGATCAGTGTATTGAGAAAGATAAAATAGCAGCATGTGAATTCTGGAATCAATTGCTAATGTCTGCCATGGAGATATTCTTTGCATCTTCTCATTCACCCGTCTGCCCTAGAAGGCAAGATTGTGTGTTATTCAGCTTCAGATCTCTAATTATTAGTGCCCAATTAGGTATTATAGTTGAACGGCACTAATGTGGAATCTTTAATGTCTAACTTTAATCTGTAGCAACTGTGGAATCTTTAATGTCTAACTTGCTTGTTTTCAGCTCTGCCCAAATTTCAGCTGTCATGGAATGAGTGACGTAATATAATGGAAATGCATCATCTCAGTTTCCCCATGGCCTGAATGTGCATACAAGATGAGAACCAGTACAGAAAAAGAGAGGATGTGAGGAGTTTTTAAAAATTGAGGAAAAGTAGAAGGAAAAGTAAGGATGAAGGTGAAGATAAAGGAATATGTCAGAGATGCCAGCATTAGCATCCCCAAACACATAGTACCATGTCCTGCTAAAGAACTCTGTAGAACATACATGTAAATGGTATGTGCAGTAGTATGCTGCAGCAGACTTAAACAAACTTGCAAGAGCTACTTGTTAAATTTTCAGGAATTTTGTGAGTCAGTTGACATGTTGGTAGACTGAAATTAGTTATGGTAACAGTATTTATACCATAGGAATGAGCAAAGGCTAAAACATTTGTTAGTACGTCATTGCATATATGACCCCCAAAATCTGGGTATAGATAGGAATGAAATCATTAGTACCAGTTGATAGCATCCAAAATAGGCTAAGCTGTCTTCAGTTTTGAGTCTCTGTGGGGAAGTAGGACTGGCACTCCGGCTACTCTTCATGCCCACTGGGGACCAGTGGTTACTGTTCTTTTCAGTATTCTGGGATTTGATTGGCTCTCTGATATGAGTTGGATGTTTTGTTTCCTCCAAATCTCTTGTCGAAATGTAACATCGAGTGTTGGAGATGGGATTAGTGGGAGGTCATGGAGGTGGATCCCTCATGAACAGCTTGGTGCCATGTCCTCATTGTAATGAGTGAGTTCTCACTCTAGCTATTGTTTAAAAAAAAAAAAGGCCCAGCACCTCCTTCCTCTCTCTCTTGCTCCCACTCTTGCTTTTGCTATGTGACTGCTGGCTTCCCCTCTGCCATGATTGGAAGACTCCTGAGGCTCTCCCCAGAAGCAGATGCCGACACTATGCTTCCTGTACATCCTGCAGAACTGTGAGCCAAATAAACTTCTTTTCTGTATCATTACCCAGTCTCATCAGAGGCTCACCACTCTCATCAGAGTGGAAGAGTGATGTCCTGTCAAACATGGATGGTGGAAAGGGCAGCTGCATGGAGGAGGCTCTTGGTCTCTTAGTTATTACTTGATACTGTAAATTAGGTATCATGTTGCATTCCTGCAATGGCAATTTGAAGGGAAAATGACACAAGAACTCCTAGGTCATGTCATGGACTGAGGAATGCTTTTTTACTCCATTAGAATGAGTCCCAGAGGACAGGCCTAAGCCTACATGGGCAGGGTCCTGTTGGGAAACTCACCTGAGGTGGCTGGGAAGAAAGGATTTTCTCACTGTGGCTCAGACGATTTCTTAGTGTAACTCTTTTCTTCTCTAACAAGAGTGTAGATGGCAAAGTCTTCTTGGGAAATACATGTGAGAAAAAGAGACTTCGGGATTGCAAGATTGCAGCTACTGTCTCTCCTTGGAGCAGAATTCCATCTTTTCCATGGCTGGGGCCCTTGACATATGTCACTATGTACTGCTCTTCCTGCTGGGGTGAGGAGTGGGAGTGATGGTAGAGAGGGTGGAAAGGTCCTGAGAAAATGACCGATTTGGAGGCCATATCTTCTTTATACGATGCTAGGGGCAATCTAGAGACTCCTCCTTTGCTAGGTCACGAATTTGGAACCACAGCTAAATGAAATCACAGGACTGTCCTGCCCATTGACATTGTCATTGATTCAGAGCAGCAGGCATATGTTCAGTAAAGATAGGAGCAGGGAAAACTAGAGAAGCACGATAGATTAAATGAATGCAAGAAAGATCAGTCTCTAGAAAGGGGAGAGGATGATAGAAACGCTCACTTCCTGAAGCGTTTTCTGAGCTTCGGTGATATTTAGTGCTCTCTCATAATTTCCGCCACCTCTCCTTCCTTTCCATGTACTTTATTATTTATTTAATATTGTCTTTAAAATTGCTCACTTAAAAAAAACCTACTCAGCCTCATGTTAAAAACAGAATTTGTAAAATCATAGGTTTGCTAGGTGAGTTTTAGTTTCTCTAAGCTATGTGACTATAAAGACATGACTGTTAAAATGGAAAACTCTTTATGTATGACTCCTGAAGTCATGGTGGGTCCCTGTACTGCACCAGGGTGGGAGTAATGGTCTCTATGGACACAGACAGATGCCACTTAGAATGAAGCTGCAGAAAGCACCTGAATTTGTATGTCTGTAATTCATCAATGCCTCCCCATCTCCTGCCCAACTCATATAACGTCATCTAACAGTGGTGGCCGTAGTTGCTGTGGCATTCATTCGTTGAAGCTCTCATTTGGCAGCAGACACATTTTTCCCCCCTTTTGAAAAGGCCTCAAGCATGTGAACAAGAGTGAGAGCCACCTGCTCTCTGTCAGATCAGGTGTTGCATTGCAGTGGTTTGTTTCATTGTCAAGAATGGAGTTGCTGTCTGCCTAATGTACTACAAGGTATTCCACTTAAAAACAGGGTCTCTGGAGGGAATAATTGTAGAATAAGCTATTTCCCTCTATCTAAAATGAAGGAAGAAAAATATCAAGAAGAAATACATATTTCTGTCCTTTGCCACCTCCTTTTCTTGCCACATCTCTTGTCTGTTCCTGATTTTCTTAATCCTTTTCTCACGATGTTGTCTCCTCATCCTAACCCCAAAATACGAATCTAACTTCTATATTTTTGTTTATAATAGGGCACATTTTCCTGGTAGATGCTTAAGCCTGATATGCACTTTCTTGGTGGCATAAATCACTTCTGGAAGGGGACTGTGGGGCAGGTCTCCCAAACATGAACCTTACCCATCAGCTTCTAATGGTGGTCTTGGCTGTCTGATTGGATTATAGGTCCACTAGGGGGCGCTCTTCCCTTTAAATGTCAAAAATTGTATCTGCGCTGGAAGCCAGTATTGCAACAGGAACAATGGAAATGTTTATTTCTTTTCGGAAATAGCTGCTACTGAGCACAGCTCTGAGAGGAGATTATTAAGGATATGCCAATTGCAAAGAAAATACTTGGTTGTAGCAGCATATTCTACTATTGCAGACATAATAGCAATGGACAGGGGTGGCCATAGTTGCTGTGGGATTCCTGATGTAGTGACTTCTAGGAGATCCTTTCCTACTCCCTGTGCCAGCTAGCAAATTTCTCTCTCTCAATTCAACCCGGAGTCAAGGTATCCTTCTCAATCATTTCACAATCATTTGGGCCTGTAATCTTTCTAGGTTCAATTCTAGGTTTAATTTGGTGACTTTCAGTTTGGTGAGATTTCCAAGTCCTAACCCTTCACTGCACAAACAAGGAAACAGACAGAGAGGTAGAGCAGTGTGTCTAGACCACACAGCACAAAGGGGCAGATCTTCTGATGCCATGTTTCCAGTTACTTCAGTTCTTAGATGTCTGTCTTCATTACAAATACCTTCTTCCAGCTTTCAGCAGTGGCTTTTGTCAGTAAGACTAATTTGAAGTCTTTTCAGACTTGACAGGGTTCGCTGTAGCACTGAGCTTAATACGTACATTTTACTGTAGATATTAGTTGATGGTAGTTTTTATATACTTGGGCTACTGGAGATTTTTCAAATAATTCACACGTACTGAATCTCAAGTGAATGACATTCGCTAGGCTCTTAACACATGAACCATCGTGACCAGGAGATAATAAAAGAGAACAAAAGAGCACTGACTGTCTCAGTATCCACAGACTGATTTTTGAGTTCTGGCCACATCTTAAAGAATGAGTTACTTTGGACAAAAGTACTTAATCTTCTTTGGGCTTCCATCTTCTTTTCTGAAAAGGCTAATAGCATAGAAACATGGATGGAGCCAGAGACTTTCTGTGGATTATTTTGTTTACTCCTTGAAATAGCTCTCAGAGGTCAATACAATTCTCATTGTCCCCATTTTACAGAAAAGGAAACTGAGATCCAGAGAGGACAAGTGAATTTCCCAAGATTGTCCAGTTGATACGAAGCGGAGCTGGAAAGTGAGTGGATCTCTCTGGTTCTGAAAGCTTTGCTCGCAAGCACAGGTTGAGACCTCCAGTCAATCAATAAACACTGAGACTCTTCCACAGACTCAGCACGTTCTGCTGTCCCTGAAGCTCGGCACTCTCATTTCAAAACACAGAGAGAACCCAGGAAACAGTGGAAGGAAAATAATATGATATTTGAGAGGCAGCGTGGATTATCGGGGGATGTGGGTTCGTGTCCTTTCTCTCCCACACACATATGGCATGATGCTAAGCAGGTCACGTCACCTCTCCAGGGTTGTTTCCTCAACTGAGAAATGAGGGGGTTGAGATGAGCGCCAGCCCTGGGGTGCTCAATGCTGCAGTCTAGGGTGGTGTGGACTGAAATCAGAATGCTTTCTCCTCCGCTCTGGGTGCTGCCACATGATCTCTCTTTCTCACTCCCCACCCCCAGTCTTGCCCATCTGAGTTTCAGGTTATTTTTTCCTTCCTTCTGCCCTTCAGTTTCCTTATTGAGGCAGCTCTTTTCCTGCTGCCTCTGTCCCCGCCGGAGCTGTCTGAGCCAGTAGAGCCTGTGGAAGCCAAGGGAAACCTGACTTGAATCTTGCTTTCTGACATGCTGGCCGTAGCTTGCTTAGGAACTGAATAAGCACTTCTTACTCGCTGTGTTCACCACAGTGGAACCGTGGGTGCAGAAGTGTAATTCTCAACCAGCCCAGTTCAATCAGTGAAAGACAATAGAGCTTGCAGGCGGTGTCACGTTGGGTCTCTGAACACACCATGGCTGCTGTCGCCTTTTTCATCAAAATGATTGAAAACAGATTTCTAAACAGAATTGAGGGTCACTGTGTAAAATGAAACCACTGTATTGGTCTTATTGTCCCGATCTGAAGTGCTTCAGCTTCTAGTGCACAGTTGCTTCTCGATAGAAGTTCATTATTGTTGCCTATGATAACAACTGTACAGATACACAGAAAAGAAGTTCCCATTTCATGAGGAGAAAAGAAGCTCATTCAAACCAAGCGAGAATGAAAATTGCTCTTGTTCAGCAGCTCTACCATTCCTGCTTTCCCTTTCTGCTAGAAAGGAAGTTGAATTTAAAAGCTTATCTTGGTTTGATTTTCTTTTTCCCTAAACCAAAATAGAATAGGTATTTAGCTTGAAAATTTGAAAGAGCTCAAGTCAATTGGTTAAGAAAACACACAGACACACACATAGTTATGTGCACATCTTAATATCCTCATTATATAAAACCTCAGTCACCAGAAATGATCCCCAAAATTGTAAGACTCCAATACACGATAGAACAAAGGACATAAACAGATGATTCATAAGGAGGAAAAACACATGACAAAAAATATGAAAAAAATTCAACACACAGATAATAAAAGAAATGTATATGATAATAAGATATTGTAGGTGCTAATCAAAGTATCAAGGATTTTTTATTATAGCAAAACAGGTCCTTCCTTTTGTGTAATGGTTTCCCAGAAAATATGTGAAATTCACTCACCCTCTCCCAAATCAACATTACTGTCTGAAAGAAACGATACAACCAAGCGCACAGATCCCAGCCTCTGCTGGGAAAATCCTGTGTAAATCCACCATCTTTTTTGTTTCTGAAGTTCCTCTTTGGTATAAAGTTGTTTGGCTCATGCCTGTAATCCCAACACTTTGGGCAGCCAAGGCAGGCGGATAACCTGAGGTCAGGAGCTCGAGACCAGGCTGGCCAACATGGTGAAACTCCGTCTCTACTAAAAAAACAAAAATTAGTTGGACATGGTGGCAGGTACCTGTGATCCCAGCTACTCGGGAGGCTGAGACAGGAGAAGCACTTGACACCGGGAGGCAGAGGTTGCAGTGAGCCGAGATTGCACCACTTTACTCCAGCCTGGGCAGAAGAGTAAGACTGTCTCAAAAAAAAAAAAAAAAAAAAAAAAAGATTGTTTGTATTCAGACTCTGAAATTTCACAATTCTCTCCAAGTACGGTTTTTTTTTTTTTTTTTTTTTGCCCAAAGTCTTTAAGTTTTCACTAATAGATATGTAGACACCTAATAAGTATTAGACCTGAAAGTGTCCTTCAAAGCATAGAATTCAGATGGTGATTTTACAGCTGAAGAGAGTGAGGCTCACACATTCTGAAGGTGCAAATCAGACTTTTTACCATAAGTGTTTTTCCTTGGGGTAATGTTCAATATCCATCAAAATCCAAGTGGCACATGCTTGATGCCCTTCTGAAAAGACTTAGTCTGCCTCACCACTGGGTTTAGCAGGGTAGAGCCAGGGTCTCAGAGTACACAATGAGCTGCCCAGGTGAAAGAAGATTATACTAGTATTTCTGCTTTCTAATGCATCTTAAGTTTTAATTTTTCTTACTGTTATAATTAATTTAATAGAGTACTTCTTGGGGATACCTAATTAAAGTTGTTTTGCTGGTAGGATAATTTTAAAAAAAGTTTGCAGGCAGCTGGAATAGAGAGGGATGTGAATGTGTCTGATCTTGTGCAATTCAGGAAACAGGGTCTTCAGGGTGAAGGGAAGAAGCAAGGCTGGCTATGGTCAGAGGAGATGACCAGCAGAGCTCCTGATAGAGGGGAGGAGTGAACTCCTCACCCCACAGGCCGCGTTGAGCCTAAAGCGACTGGGAAATTCTGCTGAATCATAAGGACATGCTGACATGCTGGGGAAAAGGCACAATTTTTTGAAGACCATCTGGCCAGAAAAGGGCCTTTGTGACTACTCCTGTCCTGGGCCCAGGATCTCAGGACTCAGCTCGTGGGGAGCAGGGGGCTGTGACATGCCAAGCCAAAGGTCCCATGGAGATGGTTCCAATTGGGAGTCAGTGGCAGAGATGCCAAGACAAGCTAAGGGACATGGCAATCTGAGCATCCAAGCCACGTAGCACAGACACAGGGACAGGCAAGTGAACTAGAGACCTTAGCAGGCTTGTCAGAGGGAAAGCAGGAGGCAGCAGGGGCCCAGACGCAAACTCCCTATGTCAGATAGAGCTGTGTGCAGTGGGAATGAAGGCAGAACCGGAAAGCCTTACAGGTAATGTTCAGTGGAACTCCATTAAGTCCTTCAAGTCGTCCTGGCACCACTAAGCCAGATATTAGAGAGGACCCACAGTGCACTTCTGAGCCTCGTTTCTGTCTCTCTTACCGAACAAAAACTCTGGACAATCAGCTTGCACATTTGTTCCTTTATCCCCAAGGAGAACATGAGAAAAACACATATAGATATCACCCAAATGTATAATTTACCAGGTAAAAAGCCTGATGGCTTTCCAGTTATGTCTAGTGTCCCAGCCGCTTCTGTCAGGAGTGCAGGTGTAAGTAATCTCACGTGCCTCTGCTCTGATCTCCTTGTGGGGGTCCAGTACCCCGACCCATCTTGGGAGATGCCGCTATTCCAACCTCAGGATCTCCTAATGGAGTTGAGATGTGAGGCTGAATAGAATTCACCCTTCTTTTCCTTAAAAGTTGAGCAGAAAGTTTTCTTTTCCACAGAAAGTTGAGTGCCAAATGGGAAACAAACTGTCAGTTTTCCTAACAGGTGGACAGGTGCATCTTAACTTCCAAGGCTTTTTCGGGAAGCTGGAGAGGAGAAAGTGACTTAGACCTGAGGACAAAGGAGATCCACCTGTTTATCTAATTGAAAACCTTGAGCCTGCCTGTCACCTGGACTGTAGCGTACAGGAGTGATGCTGGGCAGATAGAGCTCCCAGCACTCCTGCTATGGACATCCTAACCTGCTAGAAGCTACCCAGTCACAAACTAAGTTTATAGCTGAAGCTCTAGCACCTGTTCTAGAACACAAGAATCTGAAGGAAGAGATGAACTGAATTTAGCACTGATTTTCTTTTAAAATCTTTATAGAAACTATAACATTTCTGAGATATCTAGAAATGTTATTTTTGTTTTGTTTGGCTTTCTGATTTTTTTCCGCTTTATCTCAAAATTAAACATTTTGAGATAATTGTAGATTCACATGCACTTTTCAGAAATAATATAGAGAGATCCCTCTGTCTTTCACCCAGTTCCTCCAACTTGGTAATATCTTGCCAAACCATTGTGCTATTTCATAGTGGGGCATTGATATAGATACCATCAAGATACAGACCATTTCCTTGGCAACAAGAATCCCCCACATCCACTTCCCTCCTGCACCCACCCCTTTCTTAATCCCTGGCAACCACTATTCTCTATATCTATAATTTTGTCTTTGCACAAATGTTATATAAATAGAATTATGCAGAATGTAACCTTTTGGGATTGCCCTTTTTTCTTTCTTTTGAGACAGAGTCTTGCTCTGTTTCCCAGGCTGGAGTGCAGTGGTATGATCTCGGCTCACTGCAACCTCTGCCTCCCGGGTTCAAGTGATTCTCCTGCCTCAGCCTCCGTGGTAGCTGGGACTACAGGCGCACGCCACCACGCCTGGCTGATTTTTCTATTTTCAGTAGAAATGAGGTTTCACCGTGTTGACCAGGATGGTCTCCATCTGTTGACCTTGTGATCTGCCCACCTCTGCCTTCCAAAGTACTGGGGTTACAGGCATGAGCAACTGCGCCCGGCCAGGATTGCTCATTTTTTTATTTATAGCATAATCCCCTGAAAGTTGTTGCATGTATCAATAGCTTTTTAATTTTTATTGCTGAATAGTATTCCAGGGTATGGGGTACCACAGTTTGTTTAACCAACCACCTGTTGAAGGATACCTGGGCTATTTCTAGTTTGGGCTATTGCAAGATGCTATGGACATTGATATACAGGTATTTTTGAGAATAAATGTTTGTATTTCTCTGAGATGAATATCCAGAAGGTCATTTGCTCGGTCTTATGATAAATGCATATTGAATTTTTTTTTTAGATGAAATCTCACTCTGTTACCCAGGCTGGAGTGCGGTGGCACAATCTTTGCTCACTGCACTGCCTCCCGGGTTCAAGTGATTCTCCTGCCTCAGCCTCCTGAGTAGTTGGGATTACAGGTATGTGTCACCGAACCTGGCTAATTTTTTGTAATTTTAGTAGAGACGGGTTTTCACCATGTTGGATAGGCTGGTCTCAAACTCCTGACCTCAGGTGATCTGCCTGCCTTGGCCTCCCAAAGTTCTGAGATTATAGGCGTAAGCCACCGCACCTGACCAGTTTGGTTTTTTTTTTTTTAAGTTGAGTTTTGAGAGTTCTTTATATATATATTCTAGATGCTAGTTCTTTGTCAAATATGTGATTTGAAAATATTTTCTCTCAGTCTATAGCTTGTCTTTTCACCCTCTCCATACAGTCTTTCACAGAGAAAAATTTTTAATTGTGGTGAAGTCTTATCAATTTTTTCTTTTATAGATCACACTTTTGGTGTCAACTCTTAAGAACAATTTGTCTAGCCCTAGACCCCCAGGATTTTTTACTATTGTTTTCTTGTAAAAGTTTTAGTTTTACATTTTACATTTAGGTCACTTTACATTTTGAGTTAATTTTTTTAAATTTAGGTGTGAGAATTAGGTTGAGCTCATTTTTTGTTGTTGTTGTTTTGTTTTGTTTTTGTTTGTTTGTTTTTACCTGCGAATTTCCATTTGCTCCAGCACAATTTGCTGGAAATATTTTTCTTCCATTGAATTGTTTTTGTAACTTCACTGAAGATCACGTGGGCATATTTGTAGGGGCCTATTTTTAGGTTTGCTCTTCTGTTCTCTTAATTATTGTGTCTGTTCTTCCACCAGCATCAGTCTTGGTTACTGCAGCTATATAATAAGTTGAAAGTCAGGTAGACAGATTTCTCTTATTTTGTTCTTCCCTTTCAAAATGGTTTCAGCTATTCTAGTTCGTTTGT